CACAGGTTTATTCCAAACAAAGCATATTTAAACATCTCTGTGACCAGTGGATAGCTGCAGACAAGTTTGTCTCAGAAATACACTTGTCTAGTCTAATCAAAACAGTGCCTTCGGAGGGGATCTACTGGGCCAATTCAAAGCAGAGAAGTCAGCTCGGAAGATTATGAAGGCTGTTTCTGGGAACTCCAAAGGGGTCATGTGATAGGCTATCTCTACAGACACAGGATAATCACAGAAGCTTATTAAGAAGATGCTTTAAGAAAATTGAAAACTGTATTGGTAAAAATAAGGCCAGGAAAGTTGCAATGAGAAAATTTTTTCTAACACCACGACATACCTGCTCATTCTTTTAGGGAGGAAAGGCTGTCCTAGGAGAGTTTTGTTGGGAAACCGTCCCCACATCCACCCTACAGCCCTGATCTTGCCCCTTCAAAGTTCCTTTTGCTCCAAAAATTCAAGGAACATTGAAAAGGAACATGATTTGAGTCCCTCGAAGATGCCAAATCTTCTGTTTTGACATGGTGTGAATCATCGAGTACAAAATTCTTCAAGGAAGGGTTAGAGAAATGGAAGCACCACCTTTAGAAATATACAGACCTGGATGGAGGATATGTCAAGAAACAAGAACTTATCCTTTTGATATTTTTGTTTAGTAAAGGCTTCTATAATTTTGTAGCAATATTTTTTGAGTTACCCTTTAAAGAGTGAATTATTGCTTGACAACCTGATAGAGACCTAAAAAAGAATTGCAGTAACTTAACATGGACATTTGGTTTGTGTCTTTTAAATGTTAGGTTAACAATGACTAAGATAGAGGAAATGAGGAACACTGAAACATCTCCCTTTTAAGAAACCCCAATGACCAGATGCAAAAACCAAGTGCAGACCATGTCTGACTTCCCCTGACTTCACAAAAGGGAAAGAGAATCAAACTCAAAATCAGCCCAAGGTCAATTCCTATGAAGTGGAGGTCAGACATGCTGCCACCCTATAACCTTCTTTACCCTATCCCGACACCAACCATCCCTCCCCACAGCACTCTCTGCTTCACATCCTGGGTTTGATAATCCATTGCATCATCACACAGAACTCATAATAATACTCAAGGTTATGGGGTTTATTAGGGAAGTGAACAGGTTACATTCAGGATCAAAACCAACTTAGCAGTTTTCCAATCAGGAACACATCTTCTGGGCCGTACTGCAGACACACCTCACTCTTGTCTTGGGCTTCTATGCCCTGTGGCCTCTTGGCCTCTGCCCTGCTCAGGCAAATGTTACAAAGCTCTTTCAACCAGTCTGTGATGCCCAAAGGACACATCCTGCAAACTAGTCTCCTGATTTTCGGAATCTGGTTTTACTCAGTTCATGGGCCTAGAGTCCACAGCTGCTCTGTCTCTCCATGCTACCACCTCTGCTTTTCAAGGTGGGGGTCTCACATTCCACTCATGTTCTTCCTTCTTGGTGGTCCTGAATCATCCACTCCTTCTTCTGAGATGGTTCCTTTTAAATCTAGCTGGATGGCAAAACTAACCAATCCCAGCATTAGAGTCCTGTATACCTTATTTGTATGGTCCTACCCAATCACGTAGTGGGAATTAAGAAGACATTGAATGGAAAAGCCTTATCAAGTAAATTCACTTTACCATATCATAGTATTAGGAAAAAATGTTTAATAACCTTATGAGCACAAACTAATTTTTTCCAGCATTATGTGATGAGAAAAAATGCAAATTTAAAATCCAAAACCAAACCTACTGCCATTGTTTTGGTTCTGACTCACAGCAACATTATAGGACAGAGGAGAACTGCCTGATAGGATTTCCAAGGCTGTAAATCCTTACAAAAACAGACTGCCCCATCTTTTTCCCACAGACTGCCACATCTTTTTCCCACAGAGCAGCTAATGGGTTCATACCGTCAACCTACAGCAGAGCACTTTAACTACTGTGCCACCAGGTCCCACTTAAATTTAGCATATATGTAAATAAAAATATTTCCATATTATTTTAGCACCTATTCTCAGTATTTATACCTATTGACTAGTCAGTCGCTCTTCGGAAATCCTACATAGGGTCCCTATGAGTCAGAATCAACTCAAAGGCACTTCACAACAACAATAACAATGATGTATGTGGCAGTCCCTGTGTAATACAATTTGATAATGCCCTTGACTACTAACAAAAGAGTTGGAGATTTAAGTCAGTTAGAGGCATCTGGTGATGTATTTCTGAAAAACCAGCAATCGAAACCCAATGGGGCACAGTTCTACTTGGACATGGGGTCACTGAGTCAAAATCCACTCTATGTGGAACAAAATTCAAAATAATAAAAAGATCAGGCTTACTGGTCAGATAGCCACTAGTGGAACCCTGACACCATGACCCTTGGTCAGTCTTCAGGTCTGAAACGGAACTCACCCCATTGGCTCAATTTTCATCCAAGTAATACAGGGAACAACTCTAGTGAGGTAGTACATCATAGAACGGTGAACTATTTGAAATCAAAAGAGCAGCATTTACACCAGGACAAAATTCAGAAGGGATGAGAAATAAGGAAGAAGGGAAGCAAGAAACACAGGGAAGATACGGGATAAGTGATGTTACATCAAAGCAATTGTAAACATTGAGGTGAAACGAAGTGTAGCATTTGTTGAATGTAAAACTGATGAACTGCTCTGTAGACCTTCACTCAATTCACAATTGTTGTTAAGTACCATCAAATCAGTTCTGACTCATAGCAACACTACCAGGGTTTTCCAGGCTGTAAATATTTGTGAGAGTAAAACTCCTCATCTTTCTCCCATGGAGCAAATGACTGGCGGACCTGAACCACAGACCAGTGCTTATCGTAAGGAGCCACCATGCTACCCCTAATTCCAATAAAAAGTTTGTTTTTTAAAAAATGTACTCTATGGCAACTAGCTATAATGTATGCAAGAATTCTAGTGATTGTCAATATATTATCAGAAAAATTTTTACCAGTAACTTTGTTAACAGAAGAGGGAAAAAGGGAATTTTTAATAATGTGTTCATTGAATCCTGGTGTGGCGCTGTTGGATAAGCACTCGACCACAAGACCGGTTTGAACTGCAAGGTTGGCGGTTCAAATTCACCAGCCACTCCTTGGAAACCCTATACAGGGTGGCTATGAGTCAGAACCAACTTGGTGGCATTTGACAACATTATTTGCTTAGGTGGTAATAAAGATTTGCAAAGGGTTGTGTCTCTTTGTATCTTTCAAAAGGTCTATCTTTGATTTGCATTTGTTAGGCAACACAAGTTCATAGTCATAAACTTTGAAAGTCTGTGGTTTCATACAAATAATTTTAAGAGATTAAAAAACCAAAGTCCTTTTTATTCAACCTGCCCCAAAAGAAACATCTTCTTCCACCCCACCTTTATTTTTTTGTCAAAGTTGAGTGAGTGACAGGGCTAAAACATTTGGTTATTTATTCATGTATCTGAAAACACGACAATGTGTAGTTGAAAATACAAGTTTAATCCAAACAATTCTGCACATATTTTACAACTGTGGATAAAAGTGAAAGTAAGAACACATAATTCCCATTGTACTTTACTTTGCATACAAAATACCTGCAATATGAAGACTTATCAGAATGCCAATAGTATACACTGGATTGTAAAATGCACTAGGCAATTTTAAGAGTGTGTTTCAGTTTAGTATGAATGGTAGAGTTCCTCAGATTTATATGGATTGTTTCATGGTGGTGGGGGGAGTGGGGGACAGGGAGCATTCTGGGAACTCTAGTGATTGAATAAAACTTCAAAGGGGCTCAAGCCCCAGTGACCTCAAAATAAAGTTCACAGAACAGTACACAGTGATGAAACCTGAGGGAATAGAATACTGATGCACTGAAATGTAAACATTAAGACATGACTGAATTCTCATTTCATTTTGTTTGGAAACACTACTGGGTTGTCTTCAGCCATCTTCCGTTCCTATGTTAAACTGTGTTGCTAAAGGAGAATTCAATAGTCTGGGTGATTCCAATACAGGTAGGGCATAGTTCCCATAATGCTACAGGGCACTTCTTTTCAGAACACGCGAGTTATCCATCCTGACTCCTTCAGCGCGAATGGAGGCAAATTAACATATTAAGGTCCGTTTGAATTCCTGGAGTTTGAAAAGTCTCAGTTCCTCAACTTTCGTTCCTCTTTCCTGGGGGTTCGGAGGCCACCTGTCCTGCAGGGCACACCTGCGACTCACCACTCTCCGTGACTGCAGGCCTCTAGTCGCCGGCTCCAGCGAGAAACCTGCGCAGAAGCGGAGATTCAGGAGCGCGGTCGCTCGCGGGAGCCGGCTGGGGACGCCTAGGGGCGGTGCTGAGTGGTGCGCGCGCCGCCGCCGTCGCGTCACCAGCGTGCGGCACGTGTCCGTGTTTACGTCCCTCGTGGAACCGCCGACGTCAGCAGCCGAATGGCAACATTGTGGCGATGCTGAGGCGCAGAGTTTAGGAGACGAGTCTGTGGGTTGGACTGGCGCTGGGCGTTCGGGAAGAGGAGGAGGAGGGGGCGGGGGGACTGGCCCCGGAGAGCGGCTAAGAAGCGAACCCCGCCGGTCCCGACTGCTGGCCGGCTTGTCTGGCCCCGCGGGACCCACGCCTCCCCTCCAGCGCGCCGCAGACGCAGCCCCGCGGCCTGGCTAGGAGCTCCGGGCGCAGCCGCGCGGGGGGCGGCCGGGGCGAGCGCAAGGCGCTACCGCAACGCGGGCGTGTAAACAGATCCGGCCGCACGTGACCATGTGAACTACCTGCTCTGGCGACGCGTATTGTCTTTCCCGCGAGTCGTGCCACAAAGGAGAGCGGCGGGACAGAGTGCGGAGAGACGAGCAGCGAGCAGGGATAGCCAGCCGGCGCGCTAAGATGGCTGAAAGCGCCCGGCGAGGGTGAGCAGGGGGCGCGTTGCAGCCAGCCGGTGAGTCCTCGGGCGGTGGGGCCGGCGGCCTCTCCTCCCCCCCAGACCCAGCGCCGGAGCCACCATGTCGTTCGCGCTCGAGGAGACGCTGGAATCCGACTGGGTAGCAGTGCGGCCCCATGTGTTCGACGAGCGCGAAAAGCACAAGTTTGTCTTCATTGTGGCCTGGAATGAGATTGAGGGCAAGTTTGCCATAACCTGCCACAACCGGACGGCCCAGCGGCAGAGGAGTGGTTCCCGGGACCAGGCCGGGGCGCGAGGGGGCCCCGAGACCGGGGGTGCCGCCTCCGATGGGCTCCGCGGGCCGGGGAGCCTGGCGGGCAAGGGCCGACCCGAGGCCACCGCCTCGACGACTCCGGGCCGAAGCCCGGGACCCCGAAGGAGCCCAGCCTGGGCAGAGGGCGGCTCTCCGAGGGGCGCGCGCAGCCTTCGAGTGGACCCGCTGCTGCGGACCCCAGGCAGCAAAGGGACTGAGAGTCCGCTCAGGAGCCCCGCGAGGGTCAAGTCCAGCCCGGTCCGGAGAGGATCCGAAGCCCGCGATGTGGCGGGGCCCGCCCCTGCGGCGCCCGGAGAGCTGCCGGTGTCCTCGGTGCGGGTGGTGAGCGCCTCCGGAGTGGTCTCGGAGGAGATCGAGGTGCTGGAGCTGGTTAAAGAGGATGAGGGGGCCACGGCGCCCATGGCACTTTCGGACGCCGAGCCGCAGCCGCCCGCCGCCGAGCTGGAGTCCCTGGCCGAGGACTGCAGCTGGGCCGGCCTCTTCTCCTTCCAGGATCTGCGTGCTGTGCACCAGCAACTCTGCTCCGTCAACTCGCAGTTGGAGCCCTGCCTGCCCGTATTCCCGGAGGAGCCTTCGGGCATGTGGACCGTGTTGTTTGGGAGCTCCCCCAAGATGACCGAGCAAGAGAGAGACACTCTGTGTTACCAGCTCCAGGTCTACCTGGGCCACGGCTTGGACACCTGCGGCTGGAAGATCCTCTCCCAGGTCCTCTTCACGGAGACCGACGACCCCGAGGAGTATTATGAGAGCCTCAGCGAGCTGCGACAGAAGGGCTACGAAGAAGTGCTCCAGCGGGCCCGGAAGCGCATCCAGGAGGTAAGAACCCAACCCCGGCGCCGGCGCGGCTTTTGATTATTCGAAACCGAAGGCCAGATATGGGATGTGAGCATCTGGGTTGCTTGGGTCTTCTGAACAAGGGAAAGGGAAGAAGAGGAGCCGGGACCTGCCTCCACTTCATGCCTTTCAGTGGTGGTTGTAAAGCCTCAGTTTTCCTTAATTGGCTGTCTGAAGGACCTTGGTTAATGTCTAGATCGCTCCCTTCCCCCCCCCCCCCACGGACACCCCCATTTGTCGAATATATTCTATATAGTAAACTCTCTCTGTTTATTGCTTGTAATCTGGTTAAAGCCCAAAGAAGTAAGATACAAGTAAATAAAGAGGCATCATTCTTTGGCCCTGAGGCTCTTTCCAGCAATAACTGCCCAGATTATCAAAGCTGCTTTCTGAGTGTCAAGTTTAGTTACTCAACGTTGGTCAAGTTTGCCTTATGAAGCAAAGTTGATCTATTGTTTATTCTCCATATGTAGTCTGACAATTCAGGCAAATTTAAAATTCATTTCCCTTCAAAGAAAGTGTTTTATTTCAATGAGAACACACCAAAAGACAGTTTTTAAAGGTTTTATACATATTCAGCGACTATCTGAAATCTTTACCAGATGGCTCAGGTTTCACTCTTGTTTTGGAGAGAAAAAACGTCCTGGGAAGAATGTGTATAATACTTTAACTAGGAGTTAAGAGAATGCAAAAGCTTTAAACAATTTGCTTATTGAAGCCTCATTTAAAATAACAGGAAATAATGGGGAAAAGGTGTGAGTGCGTATTCAGATAGAGCCCCACAATGTTTTAAGATACGCTGGAGTTGAGACAGTGCCTGCTTAAACTTCTGCTGAAGAAACTTTATAAAAAATATATTTTTAAATACACTTAACTTTCTCCTAATGGGCACTCATAGGTACTTTCTCAAAGCAATTTATTGTTTTAGTATTAGCACAAATTGAATTTGGAGTTGGGGTGGGAATGGCCCTTCTAATGTTATTTATTATTCTTGAGGTTTTATAGTCATTTATTAACTTTGCTTGTGTAGCAATAATACCTGAGTCCGGCTACTAGGTGAGGAAGCTCGTTTCTTTGTAGAATATAGCTGAAGTTTCTTGAGTGTTTAGGAAATAATTCTTAACATGTTCCACAGTGCTTTCTTACAACTTTCTGAATCCAGATTTCCACTCTTGTTATTTTACTAAAGGTCAGCCACCAAAACAGGATCCTGGAGTTTCAGGGATCTGTTTTTATTTCTCTTCTAATCTCACTTCTGGAATCTGTGGTCTCTCTCAAATTCTTTTGGAAGGATGGAAAAGAGAAATCTTTGATAATCTTCATCTAAAAAGACTAAAGAGGTCTTTTATTAATAGTGACCTGTATTTATTTCAAAATGCAAATATAAAATCCTCTTTTCTCTACAAATTTCTTACAAATGTGTATTTTTTTTCTCAGTTTCTATTCATATTTTCATCCTTAAATGATATAGGCCTGTTTGATTATAACTTTATAGATAGAAAATTGAGTATGTTCAATTAATCTTTAAAAGCAAATTGAGTCAAAAAAATGAAGGATGCTAAAAAATATAGTTAATTATGATTTTCTTGAACTTGTTAATAGAAGGTTACATTCTTTAAGAAAAATATCTTTTCTGGGTAAAAGTTATATTGATAATATTTGGTTATGGGGAAAATTTATACTTTTTAATATAGCAATATGGGAAACATTTAAACGTTTAAAGAGTATTTTGAGAAACAATTAAAATATAAGATGTATATGTCTGGAACTTCTTTTAGCTGAAAAGCATTTGAAAAATGATTGTTGAAGACAATAAGTAGGTTCAATGCTAATGTCATCCTGATTGCCACTGGAGGGTTGAGAGTTTCTGAAGCTTAGTGAGGAAGTGGGGGTGAGGGGGGGTGGGGAGTGAGGTAGTATTATTGATTAGTGATGTCTGCCATGGCATGAAATGGGAGTGTTTGTAGTATGTTGTTAAGTCAAGGAGTTGGTTCTGACTCAGCAAACCTGTATAGGGTTTCGGAGAAGTGGCTGGTGAGCTTGAACCACCAACCTTGTGGTCCAAACCCACCTTGCAGTCCAGTACATTAACCCACAGTAGTAGTAGTAGTAGTGTGGTACAAAGCCACGCATTTGTTTCCCAGATGTTTAAATTTTTCACGATTTTAGTCCTTTTTTCAATACTATTTTAATAAAAAAATCTTTATAAAGGTTGTATCATCTTTATATGATCACTTCTATTAAGTTTAGTCATTTCTCTTAATTCCACCAATTGTCTTTTGTTTCCAGTTGTCAAGTTGGCTTAGCTTCTGGAATTGGCCATAGGTCTTTAAGGTAAATATAGCTGGAAAATCAAACACATTCTTAGGTGTGTGTTACTTTGAAAATTTAGTGATTTGTGCATGTTTTTCCTCTGATTTCTGTGAGTTTATTTTTTGATCCTTTTCCCTAAAATACTCCTTTTTCCATTCTTCTTTAAGATTATAAACACCTGTTTTTGTTCAAAATGGTCAGCAAATTGTTGAAAGGAGGTTTTTTTCTTTTCCTTTTTTTTTTCTTTTTAACTAGAACAGACTGTACAACTAGATTATAAACTTCTCAAGGTCACTGACCTTGACAGTGTCTTGGAATTTTCTCTACCACCCCTAGTTCAGGGCCACACATCTTGTGAACACTCTTATTAGTGGTTAATGGACACCAGAAATTTTAAGTATTGAAAGAATTTAAAGTGTCCTTTTAATGCAAGGTTGTGGGTAAATACAATTTTTATAAATTGGTAAATTTAGATTCTTCAAGGAATCTTGCTACTTTAAAAACTAGGAGTAAATATCTCATGTAACTTACTAAACAGTAGTCTTTACCTAGGGTTGGTGAATTCCCTATTAAGTTGAGGTGGGGGCTGTGGGTGGACTTTCATGGAGTACCTTAAGTAGCATGCAGAGTTTTATTATGTGTGGATACATGTGCATTTTGAAGAAAGGTCCTTAACTTTTATCAAACTCAGCAAGAGGGAATATCTTTAAGAGATTGATAAAACTTAAGGACCTTAAATTCTAAATTATCTATATTATAAGCCGAGATAGGAGTGCATTGGCTTCATATGATGAGTGCTGGACTGCGAATGTCCTTCGTTTGAGCCCACCAGTCACTCCTTGGGAGAAAGATGAGGCTTTCTGCTCCCATGGCAATTTAAAGCCTCAGAAACCCTATACAGCATCACTGCATTGGAACCAACTTGATGGCACTTAACAACAATAGCAAAGCAGAGGGCATTGAAACTTAACTATTTATTAGGACACCCTTATAATTTAATAGGGGATCATACTAAGTATGTTCATCTATTTGGTGAAATATTGAAGAATTAAACCTTAGGTTTTCAGCTAAAACCTATTAATTATTGAAAAATTTGGTCAGCTGACTAGAAATGATAGCTTGTGAGGAGTTAACAATTTGTCAGTATTTATGAGAAACTATTTTTAGATGCACAAGATTGTCTGAAAAGCTCATGAATAGCAACTGTTGGTCTTTCCATGTATAAAAGAAAGAGTGATGAGAATTGAAGAGTCCGGTGTATGTACTAATGGAACATGTGAATATCAGTCTCTACCACTGAGACTGGAAGAACTAGATGGTACCAGGCTACCACTGCCAACTGCTTTGAAGGTGATCACATTAGAAGATCCAGGATATAGTGGGAGTCAGTGTGGAACAAAACTCAAAAATTGTAAAAATGATTGGGCCTACTGGTCAGAAAGAGACTGGAAGAACTGGAGACTATGGCCCTAGGCCGTTCTTCAGACCTGGAACTCACCCTCTTGGCCCAATTTACAATTCTGTAATGGTTATGTCTATAGGGAAGAAAACAATAGTGAAGGAGGCTCACCACATAATGGTCAACCATTCAAAATCAAAAGGGCAGCATTCACCCTGGGGATAAGGTTCAAAGGGATAGGGAAGGAGGGTGGAATGGAAATAGGAATCACAGGGAAGAAGTGGGATCATTGTTAAATGGGGAGGATTGCAATCCTTGAGATGTAAACAAAGTGTGTGATTTGTTGGATGTAAAACTCATTATCTGCCTCATTTTTCTCCCATGGAATGATTGGTAGGATTGAACTGCTAACCTTGTGGTTCCCAGTCCAGTGCTTATCCTATGGAGCCACTGCACTTCCACCTTTTGATGTGTGTAGTTGTTATGAAGTGCTATCTAGTTGGTTTCCACTCATAGCAACCCTGTATATGGTTTCCTAGCATCCACTGGTGAGTTTGAGCCACTGACCTTGTGGTTCATACCGACCCTGAAGTTCAGGACATTAACCCAGAGTGCCACACCTTGACTCCATATCTTTTTGTTTGTTTGTTTTCATTAGCTGCTTCTTTTTTTTAAGCATTTATTGTAAATTGAATTTGTTTCATTGCAATGATTGCAATTCCCCTCTTTATCATTATTTAACAGTATTTGCTTCTATTTCCTCTGGTTGTTGTTTTTTAAGCTTTTATTGTGAATTGAAGGAGCTCTGGTAGCCTAGTGCTTACGAATCGGGCTGTGAACTTTAAGGTCAGCAGTTCGAAACTACCAGCTGTTCCACAGGAGAAAGATGAGGCTTTCTGCTCCCATAAAGATTTACAGCCTCGGAAACCCTGTGCAGGGTCTCTAGGAGTCAGAACTGACAGCATGTCACCACTACCACCATTGTGAATTGAGTGATAATTTACGTGGAAGAACATGAGTTTCATACTCATCCTATCATATTTTGTTTCATTGCAATGAATACAATCCCCTCCATGGATCATCATTCAACAGTATTTGCTCCTGTTCTCTCTGTGTTTATTTTTTTTGTGTGTTATTTTTTTGGATATACACAAAACCACTCAGGAATATATAATAATTTGAACAACCAAAGTACACATTCTGCAAGTCTGCTTCCTGTCCGCCAACATACAGTCTCTCTCTTTCCATGAGTCTCTCCATGTCCTCATCT